GGACCATCTGCTTTGCCTGGTCCTGTCTGTTTTCCACTCAAAGAAATTGACAGCCTGCCATGCCAGGCAGCCCCCACTGAGTCTGCTGAGCCAGCTTCCACGGCAGCGAGGGCTGAGATAGGCACAAATAAGCAGGCAGAACCATGACCAAGGCTCCTTCCGATGGCTGCTGATCCTTAATTACACCAAGCAGGTTCCTGTTGTTCGCTGCCAGTGGAGAGCAAAGGCACCTCAGGTGGACTGATACTGATTCTGCCTGGGCCTCAGCCTAGGCCTGGGCCACAGGGATTCCCCAGAAAGCCCTGAAGGGGAGGCTAGAGGCGGTGGCAGAGGCCATGTGGTCCTGCTGGCAGAGAGGGCTGATCCTAATTGATTTGCTAATGGAGCTTCAGAGCCTAGGAGAACTTTCCCCAGAATCACATCAGTTGAGCATCTGGCCCATGAAAAAATAATTTGCCATTTTCTTTTTATAACTCCAGTGTCTCCAAAGCACCTGTTTATTCTTTTACAAATAATTGATTTGGGAAATTGTGGGTTTTCTGATTGTTTATGTTTTAATGAACGAGAGAGGGGACTTGAGTCCCAGCCTTCTGAATCTGCTCTAGTCTGGATGAAAGCCATGCTTTAGCATTTCCAAAATCCGTCGAAAATCATTTAAAATAGAAAATTTGGAAGCTGACCTTTGCGCCATGACAAATCAGAAGATGAATGATAAACTAAATCTCTGAAGCAGTGTTTAGATTTCTGAATCAGAGAACAATGACACTAAAAAGACAATCTTTTACTAGCTGCAGCCTACAGAGGGAAATGTTTCAAGGAGAAGAGGTGAGAAGTGTCTTCTGTGTAAGAGGTGTGAGTTTCCACCCTGATGTTGGAACCAGTAGTTCTAAATTGCTGTCCTCCCCGCAAGGGGAAAGTAGGGTAGCAGAAATTCATATTTCTCGGTGATATTTCTACTGGGATACTTGTGCAATGAAATATGTTTTATTCCTGTAGATTTCTTTCTTATTAAAAATAAATTTGGAGTCCAGTCAATGGCATGGTGGTTAAAATGGCTGAATCCCACATGGCTGACAATATGGTTCGAGTCCCAGACCCAGCATCTTTAAAAACATGCTGGGCATGTGTGCATGTGTGTCCAAAATCCCAAGAGAAGGGCAAGGTGGAGGAGAAGTGATTGCAGTGTGATCATTCTTCACAGGGGGTGCTTTCTCACTCCCTCTCCCCCACCTCTCCCCAGTGAGCACATGTGCCTTCTGACAAAAAATAAATAAAAGTGTTAGAGGAAATGAATAATCACAGTAATAATCACTTTGTGCCAGCTAGTACATTTTTACCTGTTTTGAGAAAAGGTAAATTAAGAAATGAATGAAGAATGAAGGTCAAACTCAGTGAGCAGCTTGATGGGCAGTTGGTGGTGGTGTGGTCTTGGACACTAACGCTGGGATGTTTGGCTTTCCTGGGGACACACTGGACACTGGGTCTGTCACTTGCTGGAGGCCACTCATTTTGTTAGTAGTTTTGTTAAGTAACTTGAAACGCATCCATCCATCTCTCTTGGACCATATTGACAAGTGAAATTATAGAAGTCTTGGTCTTGCCAGAGATTGTTTCCCTTCAGGGCAGGTCTGTGGACTGTTGCCATGCAGTCAGCGACTAGAAAGAGGGGGAAGAAATATGAATGGATTAACCGAGAGGAGTCCAGGGTCCTGTCTGCCCCAGTAATGGTGCATCTTGAAGGTTGGACTGAAAGTCATGGGTTTCCTCATAGTTCTCAAATCCAGATGTACCAAGATTTTGGTTTCCCCAATTGTTTCATTAGCCATTTTTTTTTCTTTTTTTTTTTTTTTTTTTTTTGGAGAGATTTTCACTGTAGGGCGCGTGCGCTCGCCAGACAGACAGAGAGAGACATAGAGACAGAAAGCGAGAAATCACCCCCCAGGGGGGATGGTCACGCCGCAATCCCTTCTCCTCCATTCTCCTCTTGGGATCTTGGGCACGCACGCACACGCGCCCGGCGTGAGTTTTAAGCCACCGGGTCCGGGACATGAACCACAGTCGACTATGTGGGAGTCCAGCGACATAGCCATTATGGTAACTGCTGGTTCCCTTCATTAGCCATTTTCAAATAAATTCAGAGAGACTATGTTACCTGTGAATCCAAGAATATTACCAATGTTAATTGGTAAAAAAATATTCCCTACCCCACAAGATTTAACTAATTTCTAGGTCTACCTCCTTGTCAAGGTTATTAGCAGTGAGCTTGATTTTAATAACTGTAGATGAGGTGGAAAGATGGGAAGAATGAAAAAAAAAAAAAAGAAAGAAAAAGAAAAAAAGAGAAGTGGTGGTTAGCCAATAGCAATCTGTTTCCTTTTTTCCTTTCTGCTTATTTATTTAATTGGTTTAAAAAACATGATGATATATAAGGGCCACCATTCGGTGCATTTAATTAAAATAGTCATGCCTGGTATAATTTCTTTTATGAAATATATTTCAGAATTTATTCCATAGATGGATTACCTGCCGACCTTCAAAAATGGCACCCTAAGCAATAAAAGAATGACAACAGAAGTTAACATTGGTTCCGACATTTATAGCTCACAAACAGATTTCACATGGGTGAGATCATCTCACATGTTATCCTTGGAACAACTTTGCCAGGTCCCCAGGGCGGGAACCACC